GCCCCTCCCCTCCGCATCCACCCTCCCCAGGCCTTCATTAATGTTGTTTATCCTAAACACTTTTTTCCAAAAAGTCACACTCACGGCCTTTTGACAGTTTTAGAGGGATATAATGTATGAAAGAAAATTCCAATGACGTAATACATGAAAGTGGTGCTACATGTGGAAAAATAAAAATCTATGTTTTGGAGACTATTGCTGTGGGAAAAAGGGCCTGATCTTCATAGACATCTTCTTCATTGAATACCAGGACCCCTTCCAGTTCATCCAGACCACTCCATCATCTGTGCCATGTTTTGCCATGTCCCAGCTGTATTGTCCACCCCAGTAGTATCTGCCATTTGGATTGGCTGCATGACATCTATTATACCACCATCCACCACCATCCTCTTTAGAGCACTGCTTTCTGGGGTCTGCATTTACCCTGAAAAGAAATGTGTTTGGGGTTATTACAACTGCAGAGTTGTCCATTTAATTCAATCCAAAGTACCCAGAGAGGATGCTGTGTGCTGTACCCTTCCTTCTGGTTCTGTAAGTAAAGTCACACTAGCAAAAAAGGGAGAGAACTGGGCCTATGTGACAAAGTCATCTATATTTGTTACTTTATACTAAAATGATAGCTTTCAGATCCCTTAATATTTGAGAACGCTGAACAACAAAATGAAGGTTTCAATATATATGTTTGAATATAGAGATATAGAAATTTATCTGAACACTCACTACTCCGAAGGTGAGAGTGTTCTAATTCCAGTTCTATCTTTTATAGTTGTACAACTGGACTAAGTTACTTAATCTCTTTAAACTTCATCTGTCAAATGAGAACCATAATGGCAACCTTATCAGGATGATACATATAGAGCTTACTTCAGTGGCTGACACACACGGTCACTACCCAAGAAATGAGAGTTACTGACAACATTAGCTATCATTAATGATCCCAAGTAACAACATCGTGGTGGCCTTTACAGCAGGAGACAAGAACACAACACTTACCAGCCGTCATTGTCCCTGTCGTACGTGCTGAAGAACATGCTGTTGTGGATGGTCATGGTTTTGTTTTCTCCCACCAGTTGAGAAGCTCCTTCCATGAGGGCGTTGCCAGCTGTTCCCCTATATTTGTCCACTGAGATCTGGTACTTCCTTGTCTCGTCCTGTACAGTGAATCCTCCATAGCGTGCCTTTACCTTATCTCCTTTCCAGTCCTCCATTTCAATCAGAAGTTCTGTGGGTCCCAAGTTGGTAAGAAAGCTAATTCTATCATTTCCAAGCCAATACTCACCTAAGGGAAAAGAAAAATAAAATCTTACCAAAAATAAAACCTTTAGAAACTAAAAACTACCTTCCTTCCCCCCTCTTTCATAAATTATTCTTAACCTCCTAAAATGCCTAAAAACAGACTCCCAACACTATGTTTCCTTAAATGGAAAAAAAGCGAAAACATTTTAAGTAGAATGATATTATTTAGTACTCTCAGTTTTTACCTGGTAGGCCACAATATTTTTTCCCATCTTCATTGGTTGCAATATTACCAAATCCTCCTTTATATGGATTCCATTTCCTGCCAAAGTCAACACTACCATCTTGACGATTCTGAATTACTGTCCATCCTTTGGGGCAAAGAGACAATTTTTTTTGTCAACACATTTAAACAATAACAAATAATGTCACTTTGAGGGAAATGTCTGAATTCTTTGTCTATTTAATTTATTCTATCCTCACCTATGCTTAACGCTCCAAAATAGATATAACAAGGAAATAAATATGAGAAGAAAACTCTTAAATCTGAAAACTACAAGTGCTTTATCTTACTCCAAATTGTGAATCATAGATATTTTATAACTTATAAAATATCAAATTGAATTCCAAATCAAATGGCCTATTGTTGGTTATGTTAAAGCTAGGTGTTATCTGCTAGCATTTTGTTGTATCAGAATAATTACAGAATAATAGGTCGACAACTATCAGATACTTACCTCCACCTTCCGTGTTCATATCGCAGTACACTCTGTAGGGTTTGATAGAGCTGTGAGGCTGAATGAGATACAGCTCGGATGTTTCACCTCCATTCCTGACAATTTCCTCACATTCTGCAACCGCACGGAAACATATTCAGAGAACTACAACATATTTACTTGGTTTTTAGTCACCAATTTTATAATTACATAGGCTCCTGAGGAATGTTTTCTTTTAGATATTTGATAACATATGATAGAAACTGAATCTTCCTTTTAGTGAAAATCAAACTCAGTAGATCTGTCTGCTAAGGGGATGAAAAAGCCCTTCTCTACCTTTTGTGCCCGGGGATATCTGTGAGACATGAACTGCCAGAACAGACGGAGTGAAGACACTCCTGCACCTCTTCACCGTCTGCCACCTATTCAAGCAAGGGTGTGCATTGCACACGCAGAGCTAGACATCCTGCTCATCAAAAGCGTGCAAATGCATTAGGCTGCGCCAGAACACAGCGTGCCAGAGCTGCGCTGGGATGTCACCAGGGTCTGCGGTGGGGAAAACCCGCTGGCCTTTTTGCAGTTCCCTTAGTTTTAGAGAGTGTGAGTTCTTCTGGAACCCTCCAGAAATATGCTTATTCACTCGTTACCTTTGCCGGACACCACAGGGATATTGCAACTGACAGTGCAGGGGGTTCGGCAGTATTCCATCTGAGCTGACACGTCCGTTTCTAGTTTTTGTATTTTGCTTCTCAAGTTTTCCAGGATTGAACGGAGTACACGGAGGTTAGTGGGGACATTGCTATTCAAGGACTCATCTATATATAATCGGCGCGTTTCCAGCTCTGAGGCGTACTCATCGATTACATTTTCATTATCTGGAAAAATAAAATTACGTAGGAATGGTTAGCATTTTCTCCTGCTAAACTAAAAGTATTCAACCATACAACTGGGATTTGGATTTTCTGAGAATAAATGAATCGACGCTGAGCTACCATCAGGCAGTCGTCATGTGCAGTTGTGCTTAGGGAACATTATTTGGTCCACAGGTAAACAAATTGACATATGTTCTAGCTACTATCTTAGCAATTTACCTTAGGTGGACGCTAAAAAATATGCTTAAAAATAAATACAATAGGTTGTTTACTTCTTCGGTGAGTGAAGAAGGAGAAAGTAATATATGGATCTTCAGACATCAGAAGTTCAACATCTTATGGAGCGGATATGCCTGCTTTATTTACCCATCTCACATAAGTATAGCAGAGCCTTAAAATTCACAAGAGAGATGTCATAACTCCTTTAAAAAATGTCCAAATTTGGGTATACTGCTCACTGATATGCCTACACCAAACTCACTCAACTAGCTGATTCCTAATCACCAAGCCAACAGCACTCAACTTCGGTCTCAAGATTCAAAGGTTAGGTATCATTCATTATTTGCAATACAACTGAGTGTATCATGGATTAGCCCCTTATATTCAGAATCTCAAATGTTAAATATATAAATGCTAAAGTTTTACTCTGTGAATATTGTCTTCTGAGTCACAAGTTTCTTATAGACTAAAAATGAGGACTCACAGAAAAATTTTTCATAGAAAATCATCCTTGCTGATGCCACGTTGGGAATGTGAATAGTGCTTAGCTGGCAAGTTGCATGTGAAGGTGACTGTGTGAGATCCTCAGGCTAATCAGGCCCATACGGAAAGTCTCTGTATGCTGTTTAGGCTAATCCAGAAATGTTAATCTTCTCATAATCGTGCATTCCATGGCAGTTTAACAGAATCGAATGGAAAACACGAGGATACCTACCTTTTACTTGCTCCTGCTGCTTTTCCCACATTTCTCTTAGTATAGTCACTTGCCGAAAGGAGCCAGAAGAGGTCTGAGCAAGAGAATCCACATCATTACTTAACTCATTTACTCTGTTTCTGACTGGTCTTTCCTGTTTTACCAAAGTTTCTTGCAACTGACATCCTGTAGGACACAACACTCCCTGCAAACAAAGAAAATATCAGGCATTATATGAAAAATTTCGTTTATGGATGTTTGTGAAAATAGCAAATAGTGAAAATTGAATGATATCATTAGCCAGTATGAAAACTTGTCATTTGATTTTCTTTATGTAGACCAGAAATTCTCAAGTCATCATATTCCTATGAAGATTAAAAATAATCCTTACCACAAAATAAATGTAAATATATATGTAATAAATAAATGAAACATTTCTTCCCCGAACAAATGAAATGGGCAAAATACAAAGGTAAAGGCAACACCCATGTGTCTTCAGTTATAATCTTGGGCCCAGACCAAAGAAAACTAGAAAGGCATCCTCAACCGAAGGCTCAATTTGTTTGTTTTGTATTTATTTCCAAAATAAACAAAATAACAGCAGTGGCAACATGGATCAATGAAAACTTTCAAAGCCATGATGAACACAGAGGCTTTCTCTGCATGGGCCACCCACCACTGCAAAAAACATCAGTGTACCCACCAGGTCTGGGTCAGCATGAAGACAGCCCCCAGCATCAGGAGGTTTTCTCTCCACTTTCCTTTCGTTGGCAGTTACTTTGGCTGGACGAGCCCGATAGCCACCTTCACTGATGGGAGGTGAGGCAGGTCTCAGGCTGGCAGTCTCTCCCTTCCCAAGGGGTCGATGACCACGGGCACCAACATCTTTCTTCAGAGAACCAGGCAGAAATAAAATGTAGAGTGTTATCAAACATTTGAGATGTAACTATTCCAACATTCTCATTTTATAATTTCGGTTATCACACGACTGATGGTTTGCTTAAGGTCCATCACCTGCCTAGTTGTTGATAAATCAATAGGTTGCTGAGTTCTCTTCAGTAACAGCAGAAAGAAAAACAGTGCAAAAAGCTGCACCTCAGGTAGTTTTTAAAAAGAGGCTCTAACCGAAAGCTGCATCAGATTATGAATAGTAATTATTCATGAAACCTATAGTTTGGAAGACACAAAATATTGAGGAATCTACATTGTCAGGAAGAATAAATACCCTTAAGCCACTTGGATTACTAAATTCCTATAATTATTGTCAATTATTTCCCCAAGTTTGGTTTTTATGAATTGATGATTAATTTGGATAACACCTACATAATAATATCTTAAAACAATACAATTCTATTCATAATAAGACAACTCTTGACTACAGCATGTTTAAAAGGAATAAGGTATTCTGGAGTCAGATTTCTTAGCTTGACCCTACCACCTCCTAGTTATTGGTCTTGGGCAAGTTACTTTATCTGTGACCATTTCCTTATCTGTAAAATAGGCATAGTAATAGTTAGTATCTGCCGTATAAGATGATTGTAAGATCTGAATGATTTAGTGCTTATGATACCCTGGGAAGAGTACCCAGCATATAGTAAGTATTCATTATAATTTTTATTGCAATCACACAGAACTGGTACTATAAATTAAGTGGCTCTTCCACTACTAATCCCAATCTTCTTCCTAGCTTCTATCAACAAAAGTACCTGATAAGCCATTCTAATGAAATTTCCTACATGATTTCTTTATCAAACACCATGATTTTTTCATATTTAAAAGAATTCTCAAGGTATGTGAATTGCGATTAAAATTATTTGTTAACTTAAAAAAATATTACATTAAAAGACAATGAAGTGGAACATGTGTATTGCAATATAAAAGGGTTGATTTGAATTAACTATATTATCATATGGTTTTTGTCAGCTATTATACCCTTTCAGGCTTAATTACAAATTAACAAAACACTAGATTTGAAACAGAGACTAAGCTTTCTAGTTATTTTGTGAGTCTGGAAGTCATTCAGTGACTCTATTTGGAATTTTACTGTCATTTACTCACTAAGTTATAATATTTAACATTTAGTTGGAAGGTGCTAGGCTTTCAACCCAGGCAGCTTGGTTTCTGATTCTCCTGCTTAACTGCTGGACTTAAACTATAGTATCTGTTATATGGGATGGCAATAAAAATAATAATGTGTGAAGATGTAGGGAAAATACACATATTGCATTTTGAAGATGTGGTCTCTCTGTCAGAGCTGGTCTGTTCTAACAGGAATTTTATAAAATGTAATCCACCTGTATATTACAAATAAATTTATAACAGAAGGAAAAAATATTTTCTTTTTATTTCAGAATGCTATTAGAGAGGTAGCCTTGATGGTCTAGCTTTACAAGAGAAAAAGAAATAAAAAATATTTTTAAAAATTACACTGGTGTGAATACCACTTACTGAAATAACTAAAGCCAGAAACTCCATTTGAAACCTAAACTAGTAAACTGTCTCTGTAGGGACCAGTTTGTGAGCAAGAATGTCAAAATGCTTACCTAAGTACTCTACGAATATTTATATATTCTTGACATTTTTCTTACCTAATGCAATTAACCAAAGATATTTTTATATGTATAGTTTGATAATTAGATCACTTAGATTCCCTTCAGATTCAATAAATGATTCAAAATGAATCATGTCATTTAAACATTAGTGTGCACTTTTATTTCTAGTATGACGATGCTATGTTATATACAAGAAATTTGATCTTGATTCATTTGATACTAAAGTTAAAATCCTTTAAATATTCATTTGCCTAAATGCATTTCTGTATTTTTGATATCTTAAAACCCATAGGAATAAATCAGCAAAGATAGAACTCGAGGAAAAACTGTTCTACAAATGAAGAAATTAAACTGGGCTATATGTTTCATAATCATTAATAATAACAATAAATGCTATCTGTGATTTAAAATTTTAATTTGCAAAACACAATATTTCATTGTCTAACCTTGCATTTGATCTATTCTGCTTTTAGATTTGGTTTGTAATTTTCACTCATAAATAGCCAGCAATTTCAAGAGTTATATAAATGACCCTCCTTCACCAAAGAGAACCTATCTACTGTAGTTTTTTACTTTTAAAATACTGCTCTTTTGTTATTTTATAGTCTGCAAAATTTTCAGATTTTTGTTCTTACAATTTAGTAATGTGTTGCTAGAACCAAACAAAATTCACAGTACTTGGGATAATAAGTGAGAAAAGCACATCTTACCTTAGATGTGGCATCTTCACCCTGGGAAAATGAAAGTGATAAACCAGAAAACAAGAAATGATTATTTCATTTTCATATAAGAAATACTATGTAGCATTCTTTAAATAAAATGGGTCCTTTAGATTGACAGTTCCATTTCATAACTAAAATCAAGGTCAACTTCATTAAAATAAATATCCATATGATTATGATTCTGTTATATTTTACATTAATAATACTATACTAATACTAGTAATAATACTATTACTAGTATAATACTATATTAATACTAGTAATAATATAATAACAATTTTTTAAAAAAGTCACCTCATGATGGTCACTGGAACCTTGGGACTGAACTATAAAAACACATAATAGTAGCACTAATAGATGTTTCATGATTTAAAATTTTTGGAAGTCCCAAGAAACTGTCCTTTGCTTGTGAACTTAACTGAGAGCTCTTCAATCCTATATATACTTGAATCCTCTGTTAGGTATGACTTTAGAAATGGTTACCATCCTTAGTTAATATTTAATTTTTTGGTTCACTTGTTGGCTGAACCCTTTTATCACTTAAGCAACATCTTCCCAGCAAGACTTATTTACTTGTCATTCAACTATTCTCTGTTGGTCGAATTTAGAAACAACAAAGCTCTTCAGTTCATTTAATTGGACAATATGATGGGAAATTAGGACATTCCTAAAAGAGATGTGTATCACATTTCCTGTAAGTTAGTGTGGATGCTACACAAGCTCACAAAGAATGTGTGAGGGGAAAAATATTTTTAATCCAAGCACAAAAAATTGGACCCACTCACAAGGCAGCCACTAACATTGTGAGCTCACTAAAGGTATAGCATAAATGCTTATGTTTTGAGGCAATCATGTAATTCAGTTTTAAAAAGCCATTAAAATCAAAGAATAATGTTATATCACCATGTGTTTATTAATAGGCATTAATCAGAACAATAAAACGATAAATCATGCATTATGATATGATAGATAAACATGAAAAAGAAATGTCTTGCCCTGGCCAGGCGGCTCAGTTGGTGGGAGCGGTGCCTGGTCACCAGAAGGTTGGGTTTGATCCCCGGTCAGGGCACAGACCCGGGGGGCGCTGGGGGCACGCGTGGGAGGCAGCCGGCTGATGTCTCTCTCTCCCCGCCTCTCTCTGAAAACATGTCCTTAGATGAGGATTTTAAAAAAAGAAATGTCTCATCTCTTTTTTGGTTCTGACCACATTTCATATTTTGTCCTTAATATAAGTTAAAATCTTCAACAAAATTCTAAACATTATTAAAATAATTAGTAGGTTACAGATTTCTAGATCAAAATCATTATTATAGTGACTGGATACATATTTAACATTCTATTTTTATATTATATTATATCATATGTTTTATTTTATATTATATTGATTGTATTGCTTACAAAAACAATGGTATTTTAACACGAGTATAACCTTTATGCATCTATTGCAAATAGTTGCTCAGACATTAAGTATGGCCCATTTCTTTTCCTGTAGGCCACCAAAACCAACTCTCTCAGCTTTTCATTTGCTTGTTGCAATCAGGATTAACAACTCCTACAAGAATCAATAGGGGAACCAAAATCAGCAACACGTATCCCAGCAAGTGTGCTGCTTTGTAGCATTTTCTGGGCGTTTTTGTACAGAACGTGAAACATCTTATTAACATTTTTAAATGATTTTATTAAAAGGATAGCAGATTTAGACGAGGAGAGTATGTTTTCAACAGTGCTTTGAAGTGGACTTTTGATAATGGTAAGCGACCCACTAAATTTCTTTCTTGTCTTGGTAGCACAGGTTGCTTCTCCAAATTCTCCTGAGTCAGATTTATAGAAACAAAGGATTATGTTTAAATAAAGTAAAAGAATTGATTGGATTTTTCTAGATTTGTGTCCCATTTATTAGTAAATCCTGTACTTTTAACATTAGTTTAGCTTTACCCTTTCTTAGAAGAATACACAATCTGAAAAAGCAAATGTGCACGTGTGTGTATTAATTAAAGGTGAAAGAATAATTTCTTTCAAAATATAACTGAGAAACAGCTTATTTTAACAATCTAAGCAGGGTTTTATTTTAATGATATCAGATTCTTGCTGATTTAAAAAGACTACTATAGATCAATTTTACCTCAATAAAAATAAATAAAGTAAAAAGATTCTGTTAAGATTAAAATGTTTTTTCTTTTGTGGTGACATTGTCAAATTATCACTTCATTTTCAAGCACTGACATTTCATCAACTAGCAATAGAACCATTATTTAATTTGCAGAGGTTTAATGTTTTTAAGTTTCTCCTAGCACCTTACAGAATCTTGTACAACGTTAAAATGAAAACTCCTTTCCATTCCCACGCTTTCCACTCTGACTGGCATCCTTGCCATTATCAATAGGAAGGTGGAAGGAAACTATTAGAATGTGTGTTCCGTAAGAACAGACTTAACATTCATTTTACAAATAGTACTTGAGAGCCTCCAATGTGACAGGTAGTGTGCTAGGGGCTGGGGATACATTGGTGAGTAAGACACACATAGTAGGTATTCAATAAAAAATTGTAGAACAAATGAGTGCACTAGCCTTCATTAAAACATGCCTCAGAGGCCAAGCTCTGATAATCATTTATCTGATTGAATTCTTGGAACCACTAAGTTTCATACAAGTGATGAAACTGAAGCTAGGAAAAGTTAAGTAAACTCCCAAGGCAAACAGTAAGTACTAGAACTGGGGCTTGACCCAGGTCTATCTGATCCTACAGTCCATGCTCTGTGCCCATTACACCATATTGTTCCCCCCAAATACAAACATTATAAAGAATATACTGGTACCTTTCTGCTTTGTTTGTTGTTTGGCTAGCTCACCATCTTGGGACTATAGTGTCTCACACAGGCACACACAGTCTTAGCCTGTATTTTCACTTTTCTATAAGGGTGTGTGTAGGTGTGGATATTCCTGTCTGTGTGAGAGGCATGCCTCATGTAGCGCTAATAACTATGAGTTTCTTTAATTCTAGTCCTTGATAGATATTTTTCCCTGTAGAGTTACAGCTACACTAACACACTGACCTGCCTAATATTATAAAGTACATTACCATGTTTTCAAAGAGAAGGAATATATTTGCAGAATTTTTAAAAAAGATATGGCTTTATTGATTTCTGAGAGAGGAAGAGAGAGGGAGAGAGAGAGAGAGAAACATCAATGATGAGAGAGTCATTGATCGGCTGCCTCCTGCAGGTCCCCGACTGGGGGTCGAGCCAGCAACCCGGGCAGGTGCCCTGACCAAGAATCGAGCCTCAGTCTCCTGGATCATAGGTCAAAGCTCAACCGCCGAGCCACGCCGGCCAGATTATTTGCAGAGATTTTGCTTACTAAAATACTTAATTTCTTTAAAATGTTGATGCCATTGATGGAGGAGGAAGGGAGTACTGTTTGTTCGATTATGATTTCAGGTCACAAGTGCAGCGATCTTCATGTTCACTGATACCCTTATGCAAGTCAAGGGCAGTCAGTCAGTGACAGAAAACATCATCCATCCTGTCCAGCACCTCTCTGGCGCGAAGGGCAGATTTGCAGGCACTGATTGTCAATACATTTGTTCTTGATACTTTTACAGTTCATGTCAGGCCCAGGTTATAGAGCACAAGGTAATTTGTGTTCATCATATAAAGCGCCTACTTTGAGGCCAGGTGGTGTGCTAGGGGCCAAGGGTACTTTGGTGACCAGGAGAGACAAGCACCTTGTACTCATGAAGTTTTATGTCTAGATGGTGAAGGGCACCCTAAATCTGCCTTTTGGGATAGTGATTTTAAGCTGGTTGTTAAGAAAAAAAGACTCAGAAAAAATCATTTGACCCTCTTTCTTTTCTGCCCAACATATTAAGATGGGAAGACCTACTCCAGGAGGAAATCTTAGCTTCTTTACCTTAGCCTAACTTGAATTAAGTATGGCATATAGGAAGGCGCCAAGCATGGACCTGGGAGCTAGAACCCACTGAAGCAAAAATTTGCCTGACATGTGTGCCCTACACTTCTTTAGTTACCTGTAAATTGTCTATCTTGTTTTTTTAAATCTAAGATCCCATTTCCCCCTTTTCTCCTTTGTGCAAAATGACATATACACCCATTTTTGCTTCACTGTCTTTGGGAATTTTCATGCTTATGTATTAAAATTGATTTCACCCTAGTAATCTTTGTTAATTTATTAGCCCAGCTAAAATAATTTAAAAGGTGAGAGAAAAAGTATTATTATTTTTTTAGCCCCCACAAGGGGAAGACAGAAAATGGAAACTACTTATCAGATGTACTATGCCTAAGAGAGGAATAGATGAGCCTTTGGGAACAGTAACTTAGGGACATAACCTCCTTCAGAGGGAAAAGGGACTTATAAGGAAAAGGCCTTTGGACTCAAAACCTGTGGTTTGAATGACTATAGTTTATATCATACACCTGACACATGGAAGATATTTCATAAATATCTGTTGAACTAAGTATGAACACGTGAATGAGTGAACAATTAAATGAATAAAATATTGTTCTCTTTTCTAAATAGGCATAGTTTTTGTTAATCTCCATGCGTACTTTTTAAAAAAGTTCATTTTTATTGTTGAAAATATTACAAATGTCCCCCTTTTCCCCCATTTACCCCCCACCCCATCCGGCCAGGCCTTCACTGCACTATTGTCTGCATGGGTTATACATATATGCATCTGGGACTTTGTTAACTGGAAGAATAGCTTCCTCACTGTCTCCTATACTCCTAGATGCTTTCCTTTCAACTGTGTTACCAGAAAGCACCTGCTAACACCATCTCAGCATTTGGATCCATTCTTACCATTGTAGTAAATAATTAAAGACCAAACTCCTGGAAGCAGTGTCCAAGTATTCTTTTTTTGTTTCTCACCTCAGGAATTCCAAAAGAAATGAAAACTTTCACCATTCCTTCCTTTTAAATTAGTGAGGAATTATAAATCTTAAAAAAAATGTAAAAAAATACATATTCAACCAAGCAACTCTAAAGAATATTGTGCACAAAGAGATTAGTGTTTGATAAAGATTGTTCATTTTTAAGATTTTAAATTGATTTTTAGAGAGAGAAGAAGGGAGAGAGAAACATCGATGAGAAGGAAACAACAATTGGCTGCCTCCTGCACTCCCCCTACCTGGGATGAGCCCCAAACTGGAGCAGGACGATGTCCAACCAACTGAGCCATACCGACGAGGGTGATAGATATTGTTTATTTAAACCTCTAAGCTGAGAGAAAAAGGAAGGAGAAATAATACTTATCATTTTTATGAGTATAAAAATCATAGAAAACTTCCTATAAAAAAATCTGCTAGAAAGCTGATAAAAATGACAATGAAATCTATACTCATGTGACCTTCTATCATTACTCAAGGGCAAAGG